TCTGGGCACAATGAGACTATATCTGATGAAAAAATACTCCATACTGGCGACAGGAAGGGCAGCCAGCCAGTCAGTTAACACTCAGCTCCATTCAGTTGCCCAGACTCCGCAAGGGACTTTGAGGTCATTCCTGGTTGCTCTGGATTTCTGAGCAGGAAATAATCTCCCTTTCAATTGTTTCTCTTCCTTTTGATCAAGCTGTATATTTTCTATATTCCAGGGATGACGAACCTTTTCGGCACCGAGTGCTGAAAAGGGAGTGCGTGCACATGTGTATGGGCATGCTCCTCTGGGATGTGCCCCAGAAGAGGAGCTGCCCAGAGGCCATGCGTGTGCTGGAAAATGCACTTCTGGTTACCGGTGCACATGAGTGCACGACGATCAGCTAGTCAGCGCACATGCTCACACCAGAAAACAGAAGTTCCTCTTCCAGTTTTCTGGCACTGCTGCATGCATGAAGGCCAGCTCATTGTCACACACGCATGTGGGTCAGAAACCTGGAAGAGGAACCGCCATCATGGCTACATTCCAATCATGAGATTCACCTCACTGGTCTGTAATGTAGTTGTAAAATCAAAAGCAACAAGATTTTCTCTTAACCCTGCATCGAGTATTGAATTAAGATGGCTAGTTGCCAAAGTTTTGCTGTTGAAAACAAGCAGGAGAAATCAGTATGTTCAAGAGAATTCCAAGATTTTCAGAAATTAGAAAACAAGTTGGGAAAAAAACAAGTTACCATATTCTCCCCCTTCCCCAGGCTCTAAGATGTCCAACATTAGTAAGAGCCGAGGTGGCGCAGTGGTTAGAGTGCAGTACTGCAGGCCACTTCAGCTGACTGCTAACTGCAGTTCAGCGGTTCAAATCTCACAGGCTCAAGGTTGACTCAGCCTTCCATCCTTCTGAGGTGGGTAAAATGAGGACCCGGATTGTTGGAGGCGATATGCTGACTCTGTAAACCGCTTAGAGAGGGCTGAAAGCCCTATGAAGCGGTATATAAGTCGAACTGCTATTGCTATTGCTATTATCAGGATGAAAAATGTGTATGGGGCTGGGGTGGAACAGTGAGAGGTGGGGATTCTTCCTACAGAAAAGCTGGCACAATTTTGAAAACAAACATGATGTACTCCAAATCAATGGGGTTCTAGCATTTAGCCAGCTTCTCTAAATGTCATATCCGTGTTTTATTTCTGATGAGTTTCCATGGCATGAACATAGGGCTAGAAACTTAGCTGGGAATGTGTAGGCTGGAATGTAAGAATCATTTTTCCTCACACAAAACTAAGTTGATTTCAAAAACCTTCAGCTCATGGTTTTGTCCAATGGTGTTTGGTCTTGATTGACATGATCAAACAGAGAACATTTTGCAGGATCCAATCTGGGTCATTGGGACCAGAGGTTTAGTCTTCCAAACTTTCGAATTCATGCTGGAGCACATCCTCAGAAAACGTCTCTCTACCAGAATGCACATATCACACATTCTGGTACAGAGAAGTTCCTTGAGGAACTCCAAAATCTGAAAGCTTGGAAGACTAAACCTTTGGTCCTGGTGACAGACCCAGATTGGATCCTGCAACATTATCCTGGGACACGTGTATTTGCCTCCATTTATGAGATAACTTTTTCATCACTTGATACTTTAAAATTCAAAGCACTGGGAACTTACTGTATTTTTTGGAGTATAAGATGCACCTTTTTCCCTCAAAAAAAAGAGGCTGAAAATCTGGGTGCGTCTTATACATTGAATACAGCAATTTTTTTGCCTCCTGAAACCCCGCCCCCTTCACCAAAATGGCCATGCAGAGCCTGTAGGAGGCTTTCAGAGAGCTCCTGGGGACTGGGGAGGGCAGAAATGAGCAAAAACTGGCCAGTTTTTTTTCTCAATTTTGTCTCCCCAGCCTCCAGGAGCACTCTGAAAGCGTCCTACAGAAATGAGCGAAAAATAGGCGGGTTTTTGCTCAATTTTGCCCCCCCTCCCCCAGGAGCACTCTATAAGCCTCCTAAAGGCTATTCATGCCTTTTTTTAAAAAATGGGCCCGTTTTCACGAAAAACGGGACATTTTTGGGAGGTCTGCAGAATGCAAAAAAATGTTTTTTAATTTGCCTCTTCAAAACCTTGGTGCATCTTATACTCCGGTACGTCTTATACTCCGAAAAATACAGTATATATATGGCTCTTCCAATGCTTCATGGAGAAAATCTATGAGGGAATTGAAAAATGATTGGATGGCACATAATCAATCAATCATGATGATTTCATGATAATGAAGTGTCTGCAAGTAACCAAACAAGTTCAGAGAGCACCAAAATAGCTCTTCCTTCCACTGCAAATAGAAAAATTTAGGCCCGTCCTGCATGTGACATGGTTCTATGGAGCTGGTACCATCACTTCATTCAGTTTAGCTCTCATTCCCACCTAATTTGCTATGGGGGTATCCAGTGGTGGGATTCAATGTTTTTTATTTCTGGTTCTGTGGGTGTGGCTTGGTGGGCATGGTGTGGCTTGGTGGGAGTGGCAGGGGAAGGATACTATAAAATCTCCGTTCCCTCCCCACTCTAGGGGAATGTTATTGCAAAATCCCCATTTCCTCCTGACATCAGGTTGGCCACACCCACTCAGTCACATGCCAACCACCTAGCCACACCCACAGAACTGGTAGTAAAAAAAATTGAAACCTACCCCTGCCCTCCCCACTCCAGGGGAAGAATACTGCAAAATCCCCATTCCCTTGGGACTTGGAGATCAGCTGGGATTTGGAAGGCAGAGAATAGATGGGGGTGGAGCCAGTCAGAGGTGGTATTTACCGGTTCTCCACACTACTCAAAATTTCCGCTACTGGTCACAACCTGCTGAATACCACCTCTGGGTGTACCCATCCCTTGCAGGGGAAGGAAAGCATAACTACTATAGACTGGGAATGGTAATCCTTCTTTAGTAAACGGGTGCATTTCCCCAGAGCTGCATGTATCATAGAGCTTAAGCCAGTAGAGTTCAAGTGTACAAGAATGTCTTTTCTTTCACTGAAACTCCTCTCTATACCTGGTAGGGCCACATAATGTATTTAACCATGAAATGATTGTTTTGAATCTATTCTGTCTCTGCCTTCATAGAAGTTTAGGCCAGAGTACATAATATACACGGGACTCCTATAATTTAGGCTAGGAAAGCCCTCATTTTCTCTTTTCCTGGGACAGCACTTTAGAATGTACAAACCTTTCCGATATAAAGTTTTCATCAGCATTTGTTAAAATTGTAATTAAATCATTCCAGGTGCTTTAAGTTACGCAGAACTGGGCACACGAATTACCAAGTCCGGAGGCCATTACATTTATATCTTGGAAACTCTAGGTCCTCTGCCTGGATTCCTGTTTCTATGGGCTGAATACTTTGCAATCAGGTAAACATTTCCATCATAACAGATGTTCCCCTGCCTTTCTGGCTCTGTGGGAGGGCAGAGGGAAGGGTTTTTGAGAGAACCTCTAGTTAAGATTCTGTGCAGTTCGGAGAACCCCCAAATCCCGCTCCTGGCTGACCTTGTTCACCCCCCCCCCAGGAGTCCCCACGCGGCCCCTTTTAGATGCAGGTAATTTCAGGGCACGTGCGGAATCTCGGGGAGGGAGAAAAACAGGCCTACTGGAAGTCCAGAAAGGCTGGAAATGGGCCAGTTTCTGGCCTTCAGAGGCCCTCCAGAGACTGGAGGAGGCTGTTTTTGCCCTCCGAGGGGCTCAAGGAAAGCCTCTAGAGCCTGGGGAGGGCAAAAACTCCCTCCTGTTGTGGTGGAGGAGGTTGACTAGGCCACTCCCACCATGGCCACTCCCACCCAGAGAACCCCTTGCTAAAATTTTTGAAGCCCACCCCTGCATACACCACTTGCACAAATGCCCACTGCTTGCATTACAACATTCAATAAACATGATAGTGAACATGAAAATGCTCTGAATCATTGATGGTCAACTATAATTTTAACACACAAACACAAATGGAATACCATAATCTGCAGACTTGGATACTGAAATAAAAGTTGACCTCGGCAAATTGTCACACTTGTTATATTTATGAGGCAAGAACAACCTTTTATAATTAG